TAGCCTCTCGCCATCTTCACTTGCAATCAGCATATGCAACAAGCTTCTTTGCAGCGTCTGTGGGCCTGGTTCCGTTGGGCCCGCGGGTCGGAAGAGGAAACCCAATGTAATAACCCGTTCAGTCAATCCTTCGTTTCTCGCACGAGTTCCACTGTTGTGCAGGGCTCTCTGCTTGTTCGGCAAGCAAGGACGCAGGCATATATTTGCTTGTGTCCAAGATTTGGGGCACATGGTCCCTTCACCAGCCACACGAAGGCCCATCTCAGGCACCTCGAACCTGGTTTTGCACAGCAGTGGGAGATGAACGAGGGTCTATGCATCAGCCCACGTTTCCCGGCAAGGATCGAAGATGGAAATGGTGAAAGGTTCTTTCACTGCAGTTAGGCTGCGCCAGACACATGGGCCAGTGACATCCTATTCTCCACGTCATCGCCACTTCAAAGCTTTTGCGGGTACTTCTCACGGGCTGCCAACCCGCGTATAGTGCATCTCAACCGAAAAAGCTATGACTGTGAACTTGTCTTAAGGGACACGAGCTGCAAAAACGATTGCTTTCACAGCCCTGTAGTTCGAGCTGCATGTCAGGCCTGAGCTGGCCACGCCAAGATCACCCAATCGCACATCATCGTTGGTCTTCAGGAACACGTTCATGGTCTCAGGACGAAATCGTGGCCAAAAGTCCAAAAGCCTCACTTGGTCGACCTGCCTTGATGTCACGGTGTAGAATCCTGTGCTATGGTGGCACCGAGAACGTCGACGCACACATTGTCCGGTCTGCTGCACCCCTTGCACGGTGCATGTCCTGTTCTGGTGAAGCCATCTTAATCCGAGGCCAATCTGCAACAAATACTTCCAGATCGCTCTCTCCTACCCAGGCACAGGGCTTTGCCTCGCTCTCAGCGTGAGAACATGAACACCAGCAGCTTGGCAAGCTTCAGCTCTGATGGGGACAGACTGTTTCATGTGATGTTATACATGACAAACAGCAGAAGCATAGCGTCCTCCAGGCTCTCGTCGCGAGTCTTGAGGAACTGGCACAAGTCTCCTGTAGATATGCAGCTGAAACTACGCATTCGTCACATCATCAGCGCAAGCCTCTCTCGCAGTACTCCATGAGGATGTGCAAGGCCTCACCTTCCTGAGAACATGCAAGATTACATCAGTTTGATCGCCTCAGCAAAACACAAAAACTTCGCCGTGGTACCAAAAAAGATCCCAAATACTGGACGATGTAGTTGCAACCATGCGAGACTCGTCTGAGGAGATTTACCTGAAGCCGGGAATAAGTTGAGCTGATCGGTGGCCCCCAACACGTCTGGTAACGTACGAGACGGCTCTTGTTGAGGAGGCCTCCTTGTTGGCTTCATCGCGCGCTCGCTGCTTGCAGTTGCTCAGCTGAATCTGCTTGCAGACCTTTGGTGCGGCAATCTGGCTTTCACGTCACGCACATTCACGGCATGACAGATCTTCCCGACTTGGATTCTGGATGCCCCGCGCAGGTGAGCCCGTCGCCTTTTCTCCGCACTTTGAAAACCACCTGCCAGGAGCAGAAAGGCGCAGCATGGCGCAGCTACGTCAGTGCAATGGACACACGTGCCCCCGCTTGAAACGGGCCGGTTGGGCTCCGAAGCTTCCTCGGCCAAGCTGCTGCCCGAACTCGAAGTCGCTCCTCGGCACTGCGCTTTGCTGGTTTTGGCCAGAGCTTGAGACAAACGCGAGCGACAATCATCTGAGGACCAGTCTGCGATGCCATCGAGACAAGCCATCTCAAGTCGAGTTGAAGCTTGGACACTAAGAGTGCATGTGCTCCGAATCGGCCAATGCTTGACCGGGAACTCTCATTCTTTATAGTTGAGAATTTCCTGCCCGTTTTCCGTTACTAACGCAACTTGTGCCGCAGACATGCTGAAGCGGTCGAGCACAAGAGCTGTACCGTTTGACGACAACAGGCCGAGTTCTAACTCTCGCATTGGTCACCGCATTGGTCTCTCCTATTTCTCGGCTGCTTTGATGGCTATGTATTCGTTGCAGATCGTCACAGCTGAGATTGCTCGCAGCCGTTACACACAAGTCCATCGTGCACGATTCGAATTAAGTGCAAAGCATCGCATATCACAAACCTTATGTTTCGAGCGCAGTACCACTGTGTTAAAGATTCCTGGAAGCACTATCGCGCTGTGTTCACTCATCACGTGTCGTCTGATGCCCGTCTAGCCCTTCGACGGACTAGTCCTGCCAATCTGATGAACCGTCCACAACGAAGCTGAGCGATTCTCAGAGTAGGATACAAGGGGCCTCGTAAATGGGCGAGAGCGAGACAGGCTTCTGGTAGACTTTGGAGTCCAGCAACGTCTTGATGCGTTCGCGCATCTGGACGAAGCTGCGCGTCTGCGAAGACGAGAAAGGCATGAAACTTGCCTCGAAGAACCAGAAAGTGAAGAGGTCGTGTGCCCGGCTAAGGTGATCCTCCGACTTTTAGGAAAGCCTATCAGGACGGCAACAAGGACATCGGCGCCCTGGTGGCCCTAGCGTCCTCCATGTCCAGTGCTGTCTGTGCCGGCCAGGAGATCACATGCCGCCGAACGCCTAGGCGGCACCCGCCGAAAGAGGCAAACTCTTCCATTACATAGTGTTTTGGCGCGGTGTGGCTTTCCAAGGATGCTGAGGTTGCCGCGATGTCGCCAGCTGACCATCTCCTGCAATTCCACACAACATGTCAGCTTCCAAGCAAGCCCTGCAGTTGCATGCAGCAGCCTGCCGTCGCTGACGCCCATTCAGCTCCTTCGGCCGCGGCTAAAGTCTGAAGTTTCACTTCGAAGCAGCCAGTTGAGCTCGAAAGCTCGAAAGCTTGAGAGACTTTAAGAATTGAAATTTTCGAGCTTGAAGAAAAGTTTGAAGTCTGACGCCCGCTCGCTTGCGCATGCCAAGGAGCCCAAAAACTCGAACTCCTGCACCTTTCAAACCACCTTTCAAACCTTCCAAGAATCAAACTTTCAAGCTTGAGCTTTCAAACTCTCAAACCTTCGAGCTCGAACGCCCTCGCTCGGGAGACCGTTCTGTCTTCTGCTCCTGGAGATCCATGGCGACTTGCTCGAAACGAGCACGCAACACCTGCTGCATCATGGCTTTCTCTGCTTGGCTTAGCTGCAACAGCAGGGCGCCTGCTCCGCTTCGCCTTCCGCACCGTGCGTGTCCTCTTGGATTCTCAGCGCTTGCTGCTGCAACCTGGGACTCCACCAGAGCTCCTAGATTCGCGCGCAAACTATCAATCGCCGAGCTCAGACTATAGCTACATGCTCCTGCAATCTCCTGCACTTCACCCCACTCTAAGCGCCAAGGTGATGCGAAAAATGGAAGACAATCAGAAGGGAACCAGCTGAGCAAGCTTCAGTAGAGACTTTCAAAAATTTAATCTAACTCGATCCAAGGCAGTTTACCAGGCCAAGGGCTTCTGGCCCAAGCCAACAGGTTACAAGACTGACTTTAGTGGTGGGTTGTTGGGAAAACAGGCGTTGAAAGAATTCGGGTGTGGATGAAGATGCGAGCAAATGCAAGCTAGGACAACTGTGATGCAAGAAATCTGCGCAAGGTGCTACATTCAAGTCTGGGGCTTAGGCTCTGCAAGACGGTCAAGAAGCGCAAGGTGTTGCTGATGCAGCACCTGTCCAAAATCTGCCATGTAGCCATTAGGACATGCGACCTCTTCCATCTCGTAGAATCACAAGCAACGATGACACAGGTAAGAAACACCGCGAGGCAGCGAGAGATGCCTGCACGTGCACAAGAACATGCCATCGGACACGAAAAGAGCAGCCTACCAATCTAGGATCTAGACAAAGACATGCCTCGGCTCGTTCGAGGGCAAGGTGCGGTGGCTACTCCGAACCGGAACTGAACAAAATGACATCGCCGCAACCACAGCCACATCCGTTCTGCTTGGAGTGCAGCATGGTAGCAAGGACGAAGACTAATGCTGATACGAATACTCGTACGAAGCATAAAACCACTACTATTACTAATACTCATAATCATACTCATACTAAGACTCATATTCATGCAAGCACTACTACTAAGCCAATACTAAAGCAACTACTAATACTAATACTAATACTGATACTAGTACTGGTACTGATACTACTACCTTCCTACTAATATGAATGCTAAGACCAATACTGATACTCATGCTTATGCTACTACCAAAACTAAAACAAAAACTACTGCTGATGCTAATGCTAATACTAACAGTACTAGTACGCATACAAACGCTAGTAGTTGTACTAATACAAGTAAATACTAGTGCGAATCCCAATACCAATACATACTCATACTCATACTGATACTCATACTCATACTGCTACTACTTACACTCATACTGATACCTATATTGACACCGATACCAATACCATGACAACTACCAATACCACTACCGTTCGGCCGGAATCACTAGTCCGTTACGTGCGGTGTGGCCGGAGTAGATTACGATCAGCAAAAGCTGCGATGCAGACACACACCTTTTTCCGATGGCTGTTGCCGGAGCGGTGAGTCCGGAATCACCTGCCGGATTTCGGACCGGTGAACCGAGAACCTGCTACGGCCAGAAATTCGGTCGGTCGGCGGAGTCGAAGGCCGGGCCAACGGGCCGACCGACGGGCAAGACTTTGCTGGGTATACGGCCGGCCTACCAAGCTATATACACAAAGTCCAAGGAAATCCACCAGGCAAGAAAATTCCAGAAGGAAAAAATTCCAGCAGAACGGGTGCAGAAATGGGGACGGTGGCGGGAAGACGAAAATCCTGGCACACCGTCAGAAACGGACCGGAGTGCTTGAGATGCACGGCTGCGGTATATCACCCTTGCCGTTGCGAGATTCCGGACAAACAGAATACGACACGTCGAGAAACCATTCGGCCGGAATCACTAGTCCGTTACGTGCGGTGTGGCCGGAGTAGATTACGATCAGCAAAAGCTGCGATGCAGACACACACCTTTTTCCGATGGCTGTTGCTGGAGCGGTGAGTCCGGAATCACCTGCCGGATTTCGGACCGGTGAACCGAGAACCTGCTACGGCCAGAAATTCGGTCGGTCGGCGGAGTCGAAGGCCGGGCCAACGGGCCGACCGACGGGCAAGACTTTGCTGGGTATACGGCCAACTGAAGAACTCGGAGCCGGGCAGAAGAGTACCCGCAGGGGAAAACCCAGCCAAAGTCAGAACTCTAGCCGCGGAGAAATTAAGACCACTAGTCAGGCAAAGCAGCCGGAAAGATTGAAGCCGACAGCGCGGAAGTAGGATGGTAAAGTGGGCGAGGCGGACCAGATAACAATTCCCACGGAATAATCACCTCATCCGGATCGTTCAGGCCAAGGTCAGCCGGAAGGGCGGAACGGCTCAATCCATCGGCAACCTTGTTCCGGAATCCAGGAACACGGTCAATGTATGTGGTAACGCAGAAATGCCGTTGCCACGCAAAGTAGGTACGGAGCAGAGAGCAGAGTCCACGCCGTGGACAACCCTTTCCATGAGGCGGAATCGGACGGGGCGTTATCACACCTGTTTAATGAAATGGACGGGAGGGTGTCCAGCCGGAACGAGCAGGGCCACACACCACAGGAGCGCCAGCTGGCCAAATAGCTCCCAGGCAGCTATAAATTTCTGCGGAGCGGAGGATTCCTCTAACCAGGAAAAGAGCGAGGAGAGGTCCGAGGCAGAAAACGTGTGGCGGAACCAAACGCAACGGCCGGATACCAACCGAACAAATCCGCCAATCCCAGCGGAACGAGAATCTGCACAGGCATCGGCAAAGGCCTCACACGACAGGAGCGGGGCAAGAGCCAGAGTGAAGGTAGGGGCGTCTCCGGAGAGACACGACTGCCACATTCGAAGAGTCTCCCGCGACTCGGATGAGAGCTTGCGGTCGCAATCGGGGGGCATGCGGACCGAAATCCAGGTGCGGCGTTCCCCGGGAAAAGCAAGCGGGACCTCGGAGAGACTGGCAGGCTTAAGGCGTCCCACCGAGACAAGAGTGCAGCCCTTGGGACAGCTGCAAAGGCCGACATCTCGCTGGAGGCAGAGGTCCTTGGACAGGGCGGACCGGAACGAAGACACGGCAACGTGGACCAGTGGCGGAAGTGCTTGATCCCGGTAAAGAGGCCCCAAAGAGGGGCGGAAGGGACGAAAAAGAGAGCAAACCCAAAGCAGTTTTCCCGTCAACTTCCGGAGGAGGTGCAACGGACGGAATCCGACCGGATGACCACAGAGAGAAGATCACGGAGACGGACAAGCTTCGGAGCCTCAAGGGTAGCCGTCATGCAGTCCAAGTTCATAGACCACCCAATCCAGGCCGGACGGCATCCGAGATAAGCCTTATGCACACGGAGCAGAAGGAGCAGCACGCACATGAGGGCGGCCCAGACCGGAGCGGACGGCCCTGAAAACAACGATATTAAATCATCGACGTAGATAAGGAGGGCGTGCCGGACGAACAGGAGACGGTGCAAAAGGCGGGACAGAAGGCCGGCGACGCGCGCCCAGTAGTACCCCGAAGCCCTGGCGCCAAAATTCAACGTGAGGCATTGGTAAAGTTTCCGGCGGTGAAAGAACAGAGAGGTCCACGGTCGGAGGAGCGGATGAGGATGCGCCGGTGCGCCTTGCTGACATCCAAAATTAGCGCAAACAGCCGCTCAAGGGAGGTGCGTGACGGAAGGCATCGGAGGAGGCCAGTGATAGTGGGATTGGCCGACTTATTTGGGAGGTGGGTGTGCGCGGTGACGCCGGAAACGCTGCTGTCCACAACCAGGCGCGGGTGAGCTTTGACCAGACCAAGCTTGCCGACAGCAGATCCGCTGTACTGTCGTGTTAAAGCCGAAAGACCGCCCGGAACTTCGGCAATCCAGCCCTCCGAAACTTCCGCCTGCAGCAGTCGGTCAACAGTAGCCGGGTCAGACAAGGCGGAACCCCAAGAGGACTCGCAGTGCACTAAGTCCATATCGGGTTCAGGAGCAGGCGGTGCGGGGAATAGGGACGGACATGGCGGCATGGGCTCATCCACGCCCAGAGGGACCCCCGAAACCAGGAGGTCAATGAAATCAATATCCGGGTCCTTGGCCACAGACAAAAGTGCCTTAAGCAGAAAAAGACGGAATGGTTGCCGGGCGGGACGCACAGCAGCGACTGGAAATCCGCCTCAGACAGGCTCAGGCAGGAACGCAAGTCCGAGAGGAAGGGAGCCAAATCGGGCTCAGAAATCGGCGGATTCTTGGAACCGGAAGCGACATTGGCGCGGAATTTTGCAAGGAAGTCGCCCGACAGTATGCGCGAGGTCCACAGCTTGCGGAGTGACGCAAAGCAGTTAGGGCCCGACGGAACCGCCC